TTTTTTTTTCAAAGAAATGTCATTTATTATTATTTTTTCCTCCACCAAAAATGTTTTGAAAAGTATTTCAAAGGTTTTTGCAAAAATTAAAGCTAAATCTTCTAAAATAATAGCTCAGTTTGGAGCTTAGAAGTTTTAAACAAAAGCAGCTAAAAATAACTAAATCATTCTCTAAAACAATTTAAAGTAAATAAACATGTAAGCATTAGTGAATATTTGGCAACTATGTATAAYAATGCAGTTAAAGTGATTTGATTGTTATGTACAAAAATATATAAAAAGCTCTAAACTGTTACAGAAAAGCAGCCTACTGGGAAGCAAAAAAAAACATTTTAAATAGATAAGCCGACAAAGTTGAATTCAAAGTGAGTGTTTCCTATTATGTGTAATATTTATATAACATTTTTATAATATTTATAAGAACTCTCTAAAGAAACAAGGATAATATGAGTTACAACAACATTTAATTTCCCTTTGGGATTAATAAAGTATTATTGAATTGAATTTACATGAGATATTTACCTGTATGAGTTGAAAGCACAGCAGCTTTTAAAGAAGTCACTGTGTTCTGGTTCGTAAATCATAGAAAAGCAAATCTTCAGCCCCAGTAATCTGAACATTAGAGGTTTAGTTGGTGTTTGTATCTCCGGTGTCAGCCATGATGCTGTGACACATTGCACTCAGTCTCCACCTGCTCCATCTTCTTGTCCATGTGATTCCTGAACATGGAGGTCTCCTCTGACCAGTGGTGATACCAAACAAATAACCAGACCGTTTACGTGCATGCAATGCTAATTCTTATTTTGTACACCTGTCCTGTCTGGATGTCTACAGCTCTGCTGGTATTTTCTGTCTGATTGTAGTAAAGAACCATTTCTCCCATCAACACCTCCAGCTTCTGCAGGGAAGTAACCTGGGTGGAACACCAAACATCCATGTTCTGACCAGCTCTGACTGGCCCTTTTTGTTTTGAGATCATCATTTTGCAGTCTTCTCTTTCCAGCATGGCCTCGTTCAACCACAGAATGGCCTCGTGGCTCCAGCCTCCTTCTGGGAAGATGATGTCAGCCTGCTGACATTTAATAGTCTGCGGTGGAATGACAACAGAGCTTTCAGAAAAACAAGTGGACACCCCGAAGTCTGGTAAGAAATTTTTCATATATTTTTTTTCAAGGCAACATTTTTTTTTCACCCAAGCAGCTGTAAAGTCTGTTTTGCTGTGCAATCATTATCTTCATTACAGACCTTCATCGTACTGCTTAGTACGTCATCATCATCATCCTCACCTGGAATTTTTTTTTCCAACATGTGCAAACTGAGTAAAAGGGATGGACAAGCTTAATCTGTTGGCGCAGAAAAACAGAGACTTTTCCTCTTCCTCTGGTTGCTGCTTCAGGGAGACGTGTCAGCTGGTACCAGACTCCTGGCCTCCAGTTCCTCAGAGCGGCCCATGTCACAGAGCTGTCTGAGGACTCAAAAGGTGGAGGARTCTTTTGTTACATCAACAATGGTTGGTGTTCTGATGTGACAGTGATTCTGTAACACTTTTCCCCCAATCTATGAGCTCTTTTACTCCCCCTGTGAGTTCATTTCATTCAACTTGGTCCTTATGTCCAAAGCAGGGGCACCACCTGAGGGGTGATTTTGCTGTATATACAGCGGGTAAAATACATATTGAACACGTCACCATTTTTCTCAGTAAATATATTACTAGAGGTGCTAATGACATGAAATTTTCACCAGATGTTGGTAACAACCCAAGTGATCCATACATACAAAGAAATCAAACCATAAATGTCCAGAAATCAAGTTATTTGTAACAATGTGGAATTAAGTACATACTATATATGTGTGTGTGTGTGTGTGTGTGTGTGTGTGTGTGTGTGTGT